CCATCTCTCCGGCAGGTGTTAGCCCTGATGGCGTCAAGGTTAGGGCGCTCACCCACATGCCGCCGCCGACGAATGTTAAGCAGCTTCGGAGCCTTCTTGGTGGACTCAGTTACTACCGGAAATTCCTCAAGAATCTCGCCACCAAGGTGCGGCCTCTCAACTCTCTTCTCAAACAAGGCGTCCCCTTCAAGTACACCCCGGGTATGGTCAAGGTTGTCAAAACGTTGTTAAGCGAACTCGCTCGCCCCCCGATTTTGGTCTTCCCGGATTGAGCGGCAATCGAGGACAACAGATGTCTTCTTCGTTTGTGTTCCGACGCGTGTATCGACGACTTTGGCGCGTCCTTGGAACAAGAACAGCTCGATGGCTCGGTGAGACCCATCGTGTACATCAGCCGCGCTACTCTTCCTGCGGAGCGTAACTGGACCGTTTTGGATCTGGAGGCTGGTGGCATTGTTTGGGCCATTAAACGCCTTCGCGGTTATCTGTGGTCGACCAAGTTCATCATCTATTCGGACCACAAAGCCTTGGAGAGCATTGACAAGGTTGGGGAACAACACAACGCTAAGGTGCAGCGATGGATTCCTGTCCAACTTCACCTACACCCTGAAATATCGGAAAGGTTCGGCAAACGGCAACGCGGATTTTCTTTCGCGGTTGCCTTTACCAGCACAAGACACTGATAAAACCGGCCCCGACTGCATTGATGGTGTCGATCAAGCGGGTGTTTTCCTCATTCGGGCTTGCGGGCGCAACTATCACTCGTCGTCTACACCGGAGGTCGGTTTGGGTGGGCTCCGCCCTCCTTGCACGGCGGGAGTCTTTTCGCCCCCAGCGTTGCAGCCCTCCGATTTTGGGGATTTTCGCCGACATCACCCGCGTCGGTTGGATGCTCCGACGGACTCAACGATTGCCTGCGAGAATTCTCGGCGGTCCCCGAGGGTTTTCATCGTCTCGCCTGTTCTCGCATCTTCAGGGCCTGCTTCCCCATTGATTTCTGATGCGTCCTGCGTGATGTCTCCTGCCGCGTCTTTGGCGACTAGATATGTGCACGTTTTGTCTTCGCTTCCGGAGCAGGGACCGCTCATTTCTTCACGGACTCGGGCCAAAACTACCGCTGTTTCCGGAGGCACCGTCACCGGTCCCGCTTATTTCAGACGCCAGCCGCGGGCTACCATCGTCCCTCGGACATCGTCGCCTTCCCGTCGCTCAAGCAGGTCCCGCTCGACAAACAAGACCACCCGGACCACCGCGCGTCTGCTGCAGGCATCCGCAACGCCGGCATCGGCGTGTTCGTCGACCGCTCTTGCGCCACCGGTGTCTTCGCCGTTAGCGGCGCGCCCTGCATCCCCGACTTCGCCTTCTCTACAGGTTTCGCCCGGGACTTCGCCACTCACGATGTCCCCTTCGCGGACATCACGACGGACTGCGGCTGCCCCAGTCGCTGAGGCTTCGACTTCTTCAGCCTCTTTCGTTGGATCGCCTGATTTTCTTTCGGAACCTTCTGCTTTGGACACCTCCCACTTGCGGGCTTGTGTTCAGAGTTCCAACATTGGGCTAGGGAACAACAGCGGGAGAGCGAGTGTATGGTGGCCATGCGTTTTTGGTCTCGCGGTTCTCCCTCCCCACCCCCTCCGGACTTGCTCACTCTCCGTGCTCCTCTTCGCCCCCCTCGGTTAGATGATGTGCTTGTGTTGGCAAAACCCAGACTGCACACGACCGATGACAACATCACCCTCCTCGTACATAAATCGGCGACGTCGCCGGTTGGGCGCTCTGGCGGGAGGACCACTCGTCTGCCGGATACTGGCGTGCCCCGTGTCTACGTGCCGATGCTGATGCGTCCGTGGGTCCTTCATGCATGCCATACCGCCGCGTCATTCCATCTCGGCGTCCATCGTACACAGCGTCTGCTCGAGCGCTTCTACTGGTGGATTGGTTTGGATCGTTCCGTGCGCTGGTGGCTTCGGGCGTGTTTGGTGTGTCAAGCTCGCAAGACTTCACGTCAGACTGCTCGGTGGCCCGTCATCGCTATGCCATTGCCGCAGGGGCCTGGTACGGTCGTCGGCGTCGACTTCTTCGGACCTCTGCCAGTGACGGCCAAGGGCAACTCCTACATTTTGTTGTTCACAGACCGTTTCAGTCGGAGAGCCGACATGTTCGCAGTTACAGCGGCGGAATTTACGGCGAGAGGGACGGCTCACATCTTCGTCAACCAATACATGACCAAGTGGGGATGTCCGACTACGTTATTGTCGGACAACGGACTGCATTTCTGCTCGAAGCTCTCCATGGCGATCTACGAGGTGATGAAGATCAAGAAGGTCACCACCAGCTCCTACCACCCACCGACCAACGGCGGCACGGAACGCGTCAACCACACGATGGCCCAGATGCTTGCGGCGGTCGTCAACGAACAGCAAAACGATTGGGACATACATCTCCCGCACGTTGAGTTTGCCTACAACAATTCCGTGAACCAGTCTACTGGATTAGCGCCAAACGAGATCCACATCGGACGCATCCCGCGACTCCCGCTTTCGGTCTTCGATCGTCCCACGGTAGGTGGTCATCAAAGCTTGGCCCGCGATCAACTCGATTATTGCAACCTGGCTGTCGATCGCCAGCGCCGGGCCTACGAACTTGTCCGTGAGTACAACACCCTGAAGATTTCGCGAGTCGAACGCCGAAATTCATCCCTGCTGGACGCCATTCACAAGCTCCCTCAGTTTACCGTTGGCGGGTGGGCTTGGGTGTACAACACGGCTGCTAAAATTCGACAGGGTGTGCAGAAGGACACGGACCAACAGGTGTTCAAGGCCAAATTCGCACTTTCTTGGACGGGGCCCTACAAAGTTCTTGCGGTGGGTCCCACCTCTGCCGACGCCACTCCGGACGGCCGCCCGTTGGCGCATAAACTCCTCTACCTGGACCTGCCTTCCGATCTTTCCGGCCCGGCAGCTCGTTGTCGCGTGTCTGTCCTTCGTTGCAAGCCCTGTCGCAATCCGGTCGAGACGGACGACTTGCCGCAATCTCTGCCCGCCGAGCTTTCGCGTTATGTTCTGCACTCCTTCGGAGATAAATGTCCACCTTTCCACGTCACCGCGGATGATGTGTCGGTGCCTGTCGGGCGCCTCGAGGTCGACTACATCTCGGGACATCAACTGGTGCGGGGCCGTAGCGGCGTTCTCGCTGTCCTGTACCAGACGCATTGGGTAGGCCTGACTACTCCTTCATGGGAACGGGAATCCGACCTTGATCTATTCCGTCGACACATCCTCTTGTACTGGTCCCGGGAGGCCTGCCAAAGCAAGCAGGGTCACCATACATATCGAGTGGGTCGGACTCGCGCGGCACAGCAAGAGCTAGCCCGGAATCGTGGAGAACGCTATGTGCATCCTGGGGATGATCTTGTGCTTAACGCGACTTGGCTTCATCGTTTCAGCACTTCGCCCCTCCCTGTTGGCGCGCGGCTGTGGTACAAGGCCTGTGATGGATTGTGGTGGACCGGACGCATTGGTGCTCATCAGGGCGGCTCGTACATCGTTCGATTTTTGGATGACCCGGGCCCAAGCGTTCTCCCTCTGCCTGCGCACCTCAACTCCACCGGCTTGGACGCCGTCTGTGGATCATGATGTTTACAGAAACATCGTTCGCGCCCTCTGGGCGGCAACCGTGGTCGCACTCCGCTCCTTGCTGCCTCCTTTCCGTCGGCTGTTCCCACCATTTCTTCTCAGCGTCGTCATTTTCATGTAACAATCGGTCAATTTTGGTCTTTTGTGCCATCCTTCTCGCCGACTTTTTTATTTTTGTTTTGTTTTTTCTGTCACCTTCCGTTTTGTTTTGTTTTGTTTTGTTGTTTTCTGTCCTGTCTCTTTTCTTTCCTTGGCTTATTTTTTGTTTTGGACGCTGGGGCAACGCCGCCTCAAGACACGCAGTGTCGAGTGATCCTTCTTCCTTGTTGCCTGCATTCATCTGAATCAGTGAACTGCCGCGACCTGGATGTCCGTTCTCTCTCGCCTTTGCTTCAATTTTTTGTTGTTGTTGTTGGTCTTTGGTTCTCTCGACAAGCTCCCTCCGAAGTTTCGTCGGTGTTGTCTGCCTCTGAACACTCGAAAAAGAGTTCCCCAAGTTTCGTCGGTGTTGTTTGCTTCGGGACACTTGGAAAAAGAGGTCCCCGAGTTTTCCTAGTTCGCCTGTTTGCCAACTATTGTTGTCTAAATATTTTTTGTTTTAGTTCCATCGTGCCGCAGAAGTGTCGCATACGCTTGGTGCGTCGGGATTCCATCCCGTGGCGTCGCCTTCTACCATGGATTTTCGTCGTCACCCACACTTCGTTCTGCTTCGTCTCCATCATGGCCATCTTCGGGTGACGCCTTCATCACAGTAGCGCCCCTGAGTCGCCGTCTTGTTGTGTGAACCTCTACGAATTTTCTGTGTTTTATGTTTTTGAATGATGCGTATCGCCAGCGAGCCATGGCGCAGTTCGTCGACCACCTCACTTGCATCAATCGCTTGTGCTTCGCATCCTTGGTCCTCATTAGGTCATGCCCTTGCCGTCTCCTTATACGAGTTGGGTACTCTGGCACGCTGGCAATCATTCTCCGTGCCTCTGCCTGTCGTTCTTTTCTCCTGCCCTTCGTTAACCTCCTAGATTGCGTTGAGTTTTCCCTTTCGTCGCGTCCAGTATCAAAGGCCGTATTCGTTCGGAAATTTACTCGGGTTTTGAGTTTCGTCAATTTATTTTGGATTCTCTCGGGTAGTCACCCTCATTGCTCCAGTGGTGATACGCGCGGGTGCGCAAAAAAGAGTGGTGTGTGGCGTTTGGACATCGATTTTGTTTCCTCTGTCGTCGTCTGTTCAGGATAATAGCGTGCGCTGCCGCAGTATGTGCTCTTCGTAGCTTCATCCCTTCAAGCGTTGTCACTGAGATGTCGATGTTCCACCTCGTGACCGTTTGCATTCTTCATCTCAATGATGGTGTGGGGGGTTGATTCGGGATATTTCTACAACTCACCCTCCTTTTGGATCTTTTGTGAAGAATCATATCTTCGATTCATGATCATTAGAAGACTAGAATAATCAGATAAAATCTTGCTGTAGCTATAGGATTTGAGCACTGATTTGAGTATAGGATCTGCATACATGATATTCAGGGTGGGCTAGTGTTAAGGAGTGTGGCTGCTAGTATGAATAGGGCACATCTTGTTGTTGATAGGATGGGGTCGGTCAGGAGGTATTCCCTTCTGACCCCTACCCCCTTAGAAGTGTCTACTCTGTGTACCCCCTGAGATGAAGTTGGATCCCCACTTCACCTCAGACCCTTGCTGATCGTCTCTCAGCAATAACAAGCGACTTTCCAATCTCAACGTGGTCGTCGTGGACAAGCGTGTCAACGACAGAACCTTCATCTATCTCTAGGAGGAGCAAGCTACCTCCCACGGCTTCACCTCCTTGAAACATAGGGGAGAGTTATATCTGAGTGCGCCCCGCTCCTGATGAACCGTTTTGTTACAGTACAGTAGTTCCCCCACGCACCACCTACATTCGTTCGTCGATCCACTACAATTGGGACGCATGGGGATTTGTTGTTGAGTGAGTGCGCCCCCCACCATCCCCCACCATATATAGTACAGTAGTGTTCCCCCACGCACCACCCATCGTGAAAACTCCTCGCAAAAAACATTTTCGCATGGAACAATAAGCGTAGATAGTTCGAGATCCAACATCCCTGGAACAATTCCGTTTGACTGATATCATGTAGGAACGAAACACCGGGGTCTTGTTCATCCCGGGCACATTATTGATCAACCCCAGACATCTCGGATCCTGTTCATTGGGACATTCCCTGCGCAGGAGATCGGCACACGGCGGGTTCGTACCAGTTCGTACCCGTTGTACCCGCGGGCGGAGGAACTTTGCTGCTGGTGTCGTGATTCCTCCGCACTTTCCTCAGAGAACAAGAGGTGCTGCGCTCACGGAGAACCAAGGGACAAGTCCACATATGACAATACGGAATACCTGATGTTCCCCATATACAAGGCATGCGCGAAAACGAATTTCTCTCACCGAGGCACATCGCGATCGAAGGCTGGCAACAGGATCTGTGAGAGCTCCAACGTTCACGCGAAAAAATCTGGTCGGTTTGACTATTTGCTGAGTGTCCGCAGCAGCAGAAATAGAGCAGGAGAACACCATAATCTCTCCGAACCCGTGCTCCAGGGGGATTACCCGTCAAAGCAGACGTGATCGGACGCGGAATTCTAACTCTCCTCTGGTGTGATGCATGTCATGATGCTAGCTCTGTCGACCACTTTCTCCCCCCCCGAAATCACAACGCAATCCATCGCACCTAGAGCACACCTACCTGTGCTTTTGAGACTGACCCTAGCCGAACAGGCAGCGGCTAGTTTTTCCCTGCACAAGATCCAAGAATGAAGCTCACTCAGGTGCTACTTGGCGTTCTCGCCTTCCTCACCTGCGCCATGCCGGGCATCCAAGCTCGTCCCTTCGGCGACGGACCCACCTGGATCCGCACCTGTGCGAACATTCCGACCGAGGCTACCTTGGCCGGGACGACCCTCACCATCCTGGGCCCGATTGACTGCGGCTCAACCCCCAAGGTGAAGTGATATCTTCTTTGAACCCTCGGCGACATGTTCTCAGAAACCTAGACGAGGTAAACCCTCAACAGCTACAGCGAGCGGTGGTGTAGAGAACTGGGGGCACTTTTCGAGACAGGTAAGTGTGTGTGTAGCACTTCGAAACGTCGTTGGCCCTTCTTTTTTCTCGCCGTTTCTCGTGTGCTACAGTAGTCACCGGCAGTGGCTCTGTTGCGAAGCGCGTGCGTCCATAAGATCCTGGTTAAAGTAGCACTGTCGCTGCCCGACTGCAGGGATCTAACTTAGCTATTTCATAGCTCATCGAGTTGGCTTCGACATTCGAAAAATGAAAAAATAAGACTTTCGACCACAGAGGAGTCTGTGTGCATGCACCTCGCTTTGGACTCGCTGACCTCCGCCACACATTCATGCTGACTGATTGAGATCGTATCCTCTGACATCCTTTGATATGTTTGCATCATGTATCAATTATTTTCCTCCAGTAGCAGGGGGTATGTCCACCTTGCATGTAGTCCGAGGTTTGACACCGCCATCCGTATCTACTGCAACATTGTTGGTGGCCCTTGGATCCACCCTGCTCTTGGTTTTCTTCAACGCGCGCGAATGATTGATTTGTCAGCTGCTGCGTGGATGGGACATTTTTTTTCTTGCATTAAGTAACAGGACCTCTCCCAGGTGCCTCATGCAACTTTCGGGTTGCGGTTGGAAAAAATGAACAACGCTGATGAAGGAAGATCAAAGCCAATAAAAAAATGCACGATATACACCACTAGTCTAGACTCGTCGATATGTTGTTTGCTTCTTCTAGCTTTGCACTCTCGCCAACAATCACTCACACGTCTAATGCTACAAGACGGTACAGTGGTCAAACTTCGAAAAAATGTTCCTCACTTCTTACTTCCGAGGTACACCCAGACTATCACCATCACCGGCAACACACTTGTCCGGTCCCACGCTTCGTTGCACACCATGGACCTTGCCCTGGTACACCCTGGGGCAAGTTTGACTGTCCGCGCGCCGGCCGTGTCCATGAAGCGGGGCGAGGCAAGTGCACAACGGGATAAATAATTGGAAGAATTTTTATCAGTGTTACAACAGCAGTAGTCTGGGTAGCACAGTCTACAGCATTGGCTTCTCGTGCGGTAGAATACCCATCCAGCGGGTCGCCTTCCCGAGAAATTAAGTTTAGGAGGAGATAGAACAGGGAGGGGGACGCCGACCCCTCCCCTAACCCTAACCCAACCTCCCCGATTGCAAACTTTATCCCACATGTTATCCTGCCCATCGTGTGCTGCGTAGTTTCCGAATCGCTCTACTTTAGCCACAGTCTACTGTAGGATTTTTCCTCCGTGAAGTTCCTGTCAGACCGCTCCTTTCCGTCATATGACACCGCCCCCCTCCGCTGCCATTCGTTGTCCAAACAACAAAAACCAAAACATGGACAGATGCACCAAAAGCCCATCCTTCGGGTGCACGGCAAGGTTTAGTTCCACGTGGCGAACTGGCTCTCCGAGCAACTCGATGGGCTTCTAGTAAGGATGAACAACGATGAAGTCAAGACGTCGTGATGTGTTCCCACGCTGCCTTGGTAGCCCCCTCCTCCCACGGTAGAATAGTGTCTGTGTTGAGAACAAAACTGAGTTTGCTCTACAGTCCACACTATTTGAAGAATTAATTGAGTCGTCTTCATATTGAAAACCGCTCCGGTCTATGCTCAGAACCTTCTAACATCCGTAGTAGTACCGGTCCAGCTGATGGGGGCGGACTCCATCCGTGGTCACGGACCAACTACTACCCGAAAAAGGGTGCATGCACTTCTTTTAGAATATGCAGCAGTGTTGAGGAAAATGATGGAAACAAGAGCGATGGCAGATCACCGAACCAACGAGGGACGAACGAACCCAGACAAGGAGAAAAAATCGGAAACACTACAATTAATTATGCATGTTAATCGGCTGGTGTACGACAGTATTCGTGTACGTATTCGCAGTCGCCCTGGTGGATTTGGCCCGGTGACGATGTGCGTGATGTATGTGCTGCATGTTGTCATCGACACATGTCGTCTTGAACAACTCCTGGGTGGTGTACGAGGATAAAGTACACGTGGTCTACATACAGTCGTTGTTGGTGATTGGGCTATGAAGATGAGACAAACTTGACCGTTTGCATCGGCGTGCGGTTCTGTGATAGATCCAACTTCGTCTGGTTGTGAACGATATGGTAGTTGCCGTTGATTTTTCCGAAATTGTCATCATCACCAACAATAACGACGATGTCACTGACCTCTGACCTCTGCTGCTACTGCTGCTGTTACTGCTACTACCACTACTGCTGCTGCTACTTTGGTCGTGTCACCCGCACAGGTGGACAGCCACGGCGTCGTTTCTATCGAAGGCGACGGCTTCGTGCGGTCGGCGCAGGTCATCCGGTACTCCCAAGCGTCTGTCGTCGTTGCCGACCCGGCGGCCGCCAACAAGGTACATGCATCGACTTCGTACGATTCTGTAGCGAGCGACGCACGTGCGGGTTGGGTTTCGGGAGTAAGCCCTTTCTTAAGCCCGGGTTCATGGAGTGGGTAGGCTCTGATCAACTCTAGATATTACAAGTACGCACCCGTTCACGAGGAGGGTCGTTTCTTCGTACATTTCTCATTGAGGTGGTGGCGACAAAACAATCTGTTCCCGTTTTTTTGGAAGACGGTGCTCCTTCCGCGTGGTGACATTCTTCCGTGACTTTTTCCAACAAGTCCGTCTAGGAGAATCAAGACCCAGCTTCAAACGGCAAGTTTCTCACCATTGCCACGTGGCCACCACGTTCAGGCGCGCAAGCTCTCTAGACAAGAACGTGTTGAAAGAACTAGCCACACACAACTACGTCCGTTAGCACGACGAAGGCGCTGTGCGGCCGTCCCAACCCCACCCTCTCTCTTTACCCCCCACGTGCCTAATACAGGGTGAGGCCGACCCCGCTTTGGGGATGTCCATTGCCGACTACATGACGGGGAAGGCACGTCAAGCTCGCGACCTTGGCAGCAGAGGCGACGAGAACGGCAAGAAGACCGGCGGCGGTGGGGGGGGGGGGGAGGGCCCTTCGCCAGTGCCTGGCCCGAATTCGTGGACGGTCAAGAAGATGCAGCACCAGCAGCACCGTCATCAAGACCAGACGTACGACAACCGCGACGGTACCGGCAAGGGCAACGGCAGCAGCAACGACAACGGTAACGACAACAGTGACAGCAACAACAACAGAAACGGTAACCGCAGCTCATACTCCCCGCCCGACCAGCTGTTGTCAGCGATATTTCGCTGTGCTCTAGCAGCAGCACGATGCTGCAGATGCCAGGAGGCTGTGAAGTCTACCTCAGAGGTTCACACTCTGTGCGGCTCCAACCGCGAGAGTCTTGGAATAGAAATATGAAACTGTTTTTATTAATCGCTGACTCCCGAGTCAGATTGATGTTGCTGGTACTGAAGAGGAGTGAGAGGAGTGGGCGAGCTTAGGGCTGCACCACTCTTCTCGAATACCGGACAAATAAGCCAATCACACGAAAGATCCAGAATGCTTCCAGAATGATTTCTGGAAGCCCTCCTACGTTCTAGAAGAGTATCAACTGCAACCTAGATCTCGAACGCTTCCAGAAGCTTACAGAAGGAACCAGAAGTTTCCAGAAAGACTTCCAGAGGCTACAGGAGGAACCAGAAGTTTCCAGAAGGCTTCCAGAAGCTACACACGTTCTACATAGATGTCCCGGTCAACCTTGACCTAGTATGCTTCCGGAATATTTCTAGAACAAGAGAATACATGCCAAGGAGAGATGGATTCTTTTCTACTGCTACGCAGACTAGTTGCTGCAATCGTATTCAAAGGTCAAACCGTGTCCGGCTACTGGTGGTCTCGACGCACGATTTTCCTGACACGACCCCTCGATCAAGCAACTAATTCACAATGGTCGACGGCATCACCATATCCTTGTCTACCTCGACCCCTCCGTTGGCACCGTATCGAAAATAAATTCCTTCTGGTATGGAAGGGAGCTTCACAGATCTTCGATCAACACGAGAAGTCCTTAATCTGCTGAATGATGGAGGCGAATCGGTGCTTTGGGAGGTACTTGGTTGCGATATCAGCCAACTGGTGCTCGCTGGGTCGGTGGTGAAGAGTGATTTGTCCCCGTAGTACTAGCTCCCGGATGAAAAGTACCTCAGGGCCACGTGCTTCGTGCGTGGAGAGTGCATGGCATTCCCGGCCACTGTCAGCGCTCCGGTGCTGTCGCTGTTGATGGGAACCGATCCGAAGGTCTTGAAGTTGAGTTCCGTCATAAAATTTGAGATGTAGACCGCCTCTCTGGCTGAGTAGCTAAGTGCTTGAATCTCGGCTTCGACCGTGCTTTGCGCGGTTAGAGTTTGAGTCTTCGCACCGTAGCTGATGAGTCCTCCAGCCAGAAAGAAGAGATATCCCGTGGTAGATCTTCCGTTGTCGGGGTTTGCTCCGAAGGATGAATCCGTAAACGCCGCTAGCCGAAACTGTCCTCTCTTGTAGACGATAGGAAGAACTGGATTACCCCGAAGGTATCGCAGAACGTGCTTGGCTGCTGTCATGTTCACCTGCGCTGGGTTGCTGCAGGCCTTGGAAAGTTGTAGGGCAGCGTAGGAGAGGTCGAATCGCGTGCACTGGGCCAGGTAGAGGATGCTTCCTGTCATCGACTGGTCAATTTTCTTTTCCGTGGGTCCCAGGATTTGGTCCTGAGGTTGATTCGTGGAGATTTCCACTCCGTATCCAGGAGTGCTCACTGGGTTGGCCTCTTGCATTCCGAACCGCTCCATAAGTGTGTTCACGTAGTGCCCCTGTGAAATGGCCAGGGTTCCTTGCTCGTAGTCTCGCTGCACGTCGATCCCGAGGATCCGCTTTACCTCTCCCATGTCGGTCATCTCGAATCGATCCGTGAGCTCCTTCTTCTTCTGGTCCACGAGCTGCTGGTCTCCTCCTGTGATGAGAATGTCGTCTACGTAGACCGTGAGAATCACGATGATGTTGCCGCTGGTATACACGTACACGCAGGGGTCGGATTGAGTCCTTTTCCATCCGAACACCGTGAGGGATTCGTCCAGGGTGTCGTTCCAGAGCGCAGGCGACTGCGATAGGCCGTAGAGGCTCCGTTCTAGTTTGTACACCATGGGTTCTCCCGTCGCGGAGTTCTTGGCGGATGTACCGGGGGCGGGTCTGACGTACACATCTCTGTCGCAGAGGGCGTTCAGGAAGGCACCGACAACGTCCAGTTGGTAGATGGGCCAGTTGTTGTGGCAGCCAATGGCGCACGTCATGCGAATGCTCCCGATACGGCATACTGGTGCGTAGCTGCGTCCGTAGTCCTGTCCTGGCTCTTGACGATGTCCTCCGACTACCAGGCGAGCTTTGAAGCGTCCGTCCAGCTTTTTCTCGAAGACGAATTTCGTTCCGAGGATCTTCTCTCCCTTGGGAACACTGCTGAGGGGGACCAGATTGTAGACGTTGTGTTTCCGCAGATTGTCCATTTCCTTGCTGCACGCTCCTTTCCATTCTTCGCGCTGGGGAGAGCTCATGGCTTCGTCGTAGGTGTTGGGGATTTTGATCGCTTGATTCGTCTCCTCCAAGATCCCGTGGTGTTCGTGAGTGGTCGTGACGTAGGCGTGAGCACGCGGCACCGTGAAGGGGTCTTCCGCAACGTGGGCGAAATCCTCAGTATCGCCAGGGCATGGGAGCTGGGCTTGATCGGCTATCTCAGCCAGCTGAGTGAAGGAAAGACCGGATGGCTCCACGCGGCCCGTTGTAGCATGGGCTCGACCGCGGTCGTTCATGGTGACTTCCAGATTGGCAGGAACCAAGTTGACGTCGATATGATCGTCGCTGGTGGGCTTCCCGCGCGTGCTGGCTCTGGTGACTTGCAGGCGCCGCATGCCGGAGGATCCAGTTGATGCAGAAGTGTCCGGTTCAGTCGGGTTCGACGATGATGGACTGGGGCTAGATGCGTGGGTCTCGGATGACGATCCAGCTGGCGTCGATGGGAGATGTGGTGATGGAGCGTCCCCGTCGCCGAGATCTTGCCCGTTTCCATGTTCGTCCTCGTGCCCGTCCAGTTCTAGGCGAAGCTTCTCCCGAGCGAGATTGTCTTGCTGCATCTTCCGGACTTCTTGCCGAAGGAGTTCGTTCTGCGCCGTGAAGTCCAGAGCGCTCGTCGAGTGGGGGCTGTCCAGCAGGGAGGTGAAGCTCAGCACGTCGCTCTCGTACCCGTTTGCTTCAGTGGAATACTGGAAGGGCACTGAGCGGGCTGGAGATTCGATGAAAGTCACATTCCGGCTCTCGACCACGGCCCCGTTGGATGGATTCAATACCCGGTAGGTCTGGCTGTCGAGGCCGAAACCACATAGCTTGCCTTCGAAAGCTCTGTCGTCCAGCTTCTTTCGGTATCTCTCGTGGTGTACGAAGGCGCGCGCTCCAATGACCCGAAGTCCCGAGAGATCAGGTGACTTATTGTGCAACTTCGAGTATGGCGTAGCTCCTCCCAGTGCTGAGTGTGGGGACCTTTTCAACAGGTATGCTGCAGTCAGCTTTAACTCCCCCTACATGGACGGCGGAAAATCTCCATCCTTCAGAAGACACCGGGTGACTCCGGCCAGGGTTTGTCCGTCCCCTTCCGATACACCAATTTGTTGAGGGGTGTTGGTGGCGGCGTATTCGAGCTTGATAGCTGAATTCTTGCAGTAGTCCCGAAATTCGGATCCGGTGTTCTCGCCTCCCTTGTCGCAGCGGATGGTCTCGATCCGGTAGCCTCCTGCCGCTGCGACGCACATGTTGTACGTGTGCACCGCCTCGGTCGTGTCAGATTTCTTGCGAAGCAGGTACACTTCTTTCATCTTCGTGTAGTCGTCGGTGATCTTGCACGCGTACGGGAAGGAGCCTCCTTTATATTTGGCAGGTGGATTAACAGGCCCCATGTTGTCGATGACCACAAGCTGTCCAGGCCGTGATAGTTCGCGAGTCGATTGCTTCGGGTGGGGGGACTGCTTGTGTTTCGCGATCTGGCAGACCCCGCAAGGGGAGAGACTGTCGCGATAGTCCACCCCGGTACCCGTGTCCTTCCGAAGGATGTCCAGGCTCCGAGCATTGAGATGTCCAAGCCTCCTGTGCCAGGTGTCCGCGCTCACTAGCGTAAAGCAGACGGCGTTCGCCGTGTGGGTCTGTGACTGCTTCTGGTGGGGCACGAGGGATTTCGTGCCAGATGGCTGGACGTTCTGCTCGAACGTGATGTCGAGGGTGCACATGCCTTGGTCTCGCGGATCTTGTGTGAGTGGAATCACCTTGCCTTGGATAGTGAGGTGCGGAGTGCTCTCTTCGACGACGCAGCGCAATCCCTTTTTCAGGAGGGAGGTGGGCGAAAAAATGTTGCGACCAAGTCCCGGAACGATGAGTCCCTGAATCCGCACGCGCAATTGCTGTCCTCGATTGTCCTTGACGGTGCAGTGTAGGATGCCCGTGGCCGTGCCTTTGAGTTGGCTTTCTCCGGCCACGTCCACGATCTTTGGAGAGTTTCGCTGGGTGTAATCGTGGAGGTTTCCGTCGGGGATGAGGCGATTGTCAAACATGGTCTCCGATGCTCCCGTGTCTACCAGCAGGCCTACCCCGGTGGAGCTCGCGGCGAAGTTGCGTCCTGAGATGCGGGAACACGTGCCGAACATGAAGCCGCTGTCAAAGGCGTCCTCGTCCCGGGTGAAGTCGACAACTGCCACTTCATTGTTTGAGTCGTGCTTGTTGGACGCCGACGAGCAGTGAGTGCAGTTGGAGCACGCGGTGAATGCTTTACTTGAGTCCTTGGTGTCTTCCGGGCGCTTTCCTCCTTGCTGGTAGCATTCCTCGTCCGAGTGAGACGTGGTGTTGTGCTTGGAGCACCACTTGGTAGCTCCGGCGGGCTTCGTTTTCTTCTTCGCCCTGTTCTTGATCTTGGGGCAGTTCCTCCTGATGTGCCCCGGCTCGTAGCAGCTGTGGCAGATGATGTCAGACGCGGTCGTTGCCATGGCAAATCCTCGACCAGCTATGCGTCCCTTCCATCCCTTGCGCGATTGTTCGTCCAAGAAGATGTTGCGCATGGTGGATTGCATGTCCAGGACGTTGAAGGTTGGGTCTCTGAACACCATCAGTTTGACGTCCTTGTATTCGTCGGAGAAGCCCTGTACGCAGATGTCCTTGAAGCGGCGGTCGGAGATGGGTTCTCCCATCTTATCCAGCTGGGTGCGAAGTAGGTGCTTCTGGTTGAAGTAGTCGTCGGGATTTTCACCAGGGTTCATGGGGTTGTTCTCCAGCTCCTCCATCTTGGCCCTGATGACCTCGTCCGTTACCCTGTCATAGTTGTTGCAGAGCTCCTCGAAGGCAGCTTGTCCGTCGCCGCTGATGCCAGTGTCGTCTTCGTGCTTCTGTATCGACAAGGCGGCTGGAAGTTCCACTAGGAGGAAAAGAATGGCGTAGAGATCTTCGTTTGCCCTTGTGTAAGAGTCGAAGGCCGCTGTGTCTGCGGGATCTGGCTTCCTTTGTTTCTTCAGCAGTGGCAGGATGTCCTTCCTGGTCACACCTAACACCACGCAGAATTTCTTCATCCATGTCTTGAACTCAGCTGGGTCCTTTCCGTCGAATTTCTTGAGGCCTTTGATCACGGTTGCCAGGTTCGTAGAACTATCGCTGGCGAACGCGCTTCCACCTCCTGTGTTGCTCGTTGCAGTATCCATTGCTCGTTCCAGCTTTATTTTCTTCGTCTTGATAAAAGTACTTCCTGCTGTAGGAGTAAGTTTGCTCGTGGTACTACTGCCTGTACCCGAGACTTCCCCACCCCGTTCCTGCTACTGATATAGAGGACTCCGGTTGTGGTTTTCTTGTTTCCGATCCCGCTCCTGCTACTGATATAGAGGACTCCGGTTGTTGATCGCCTCCACTGATGATACAGTGTAGTTCCTTGTACACCCGATGCGTATGCCGCTCGAGACTCCCGCGCACGTGACCCTTGCTGCTAGTTCACCACAGAGATACCCGCTACTGCCACAGGGGTGGTAACGTGTGTATACGACGTGAACCCTCAGCACCTTGGTGTAGATGACCAAGTTTGCGCGTCTGCTTGTGTTGCCGTTGACCGATGACGGCGTCGCAATCTCCAGAAATCTCCGAAACCAGGTTCTCTCGTTGTCCACGGATGAAGGTTGATGTCCCGAGAAGAGGTTGCCTTGATCTTCCCGTGATGTTCGCAGCTCGTAGTGTGTGCGTTAGCCGAAGCTCATAACCTGTCAGCGATATTTCGCTGTGCACTAGCAGCAGTACGATGCTGCAGATGCCAGGAGGCTGTGTAGCCTACCTCAGAGGTTCACACTCTGTGCGTCTCCAACCGCGAGAGACTTGGAATGGAAATATGAAGATGCTTTTATTAGTTGCTGACTCCCGAGTCAGATGTTGCTGGTACTGAAGAGGAGTGAGAGGAGTGGGCGAGCTTAGGGCTGCACCACTCTTCTCGAATACCGGACAAATAAGCCAATCACACGAAAGATCCAGAATGCGTCCAGAATGATTTCTGGAAGCCCTCCTACGTTCTAGAAGAGTATCAACTGCAACCTAGATCTAGAACGCTTCCAGAAGCTTACAGAAGGAACCAGAAGTTTCCAGAAAGGCTTCCAGAGGCTACAGGAGGAACCAGAAGTTTCCAGAAGGCTTCCAGAAGCTACACACGTTCTACATAGATGTCCCGGTCAACCTTGACCTAGCATGCTTCCGGAATATTTCTAGAACAAGAGAATACATGCCAAGGAGAGATGGATAATTTTCTACTGCTACGCAGACTAGTTGCTGCAATCGTATTCAAAGGTCAAACCGTGTCCGACTACTGGTGGTCTCGACGCACGATTTCCCTGACAGCTGTTCCACAAGGAAAAGGTCTTGAAGGTCGGAGACGTCCTGCTCGGCAAGCTTCTGAGCTCGAACAAGAAAGATATGATATACGTCACGCCCGTCGACGGTTCCGTCGTTCTCGCAACCGCCGTCGGGAAGGCGCCCCGGGACAAGGAAGGGCGGGCAGCAGGTCCTATCCCGAAGAAGCGGAAGACCCTTCTCGCTGCCGACAAGCGGCTAATGAGGAAGGTCCAGGAAAAGCGTTGCGAACTCATTCAGCAGAGAGAGGAGAAGAAGAAGGCTTTGCGCGAGGGTCGGAGACTTCACACGTCCAAGGTGGCCACCTTCATGGGCCTGCTGCCGTTTGGGAAGCGCGGCTTCCTCCACCGGCGGGCGCTGGAGCGCACGGAGGCCCACATGTGGGAGGCCACGCTGGAGATCACCGACAAGTGCGACGTGGTACGTGGGATTACAGCCAGGGTCTTAGCTTAGCCAATTTGTCAGGCAGGGTCGGATGTTTTTCTTGGTTGGGATGGTTCTTCAGGCATGTGACTTGATCCAAACGGGCGGAATGCTTGGCTCGTTTTCTCGATCCATCCGACCAATATCCCGCCCGGCAACTACAATAGTTAGCATGAAACTCATTCCTCGAACGGTGGAAGTCAGATGCAGTGGACGAAGAAATCACAGGCACACAAAATTCTACCCCCTTAGCATCTACAGAATATACAGAAGCCATGTCCGCTACCACAACCCCCCCCCCCCGCTGCCTCCCCTCTCAACTGTCTACGTGACAATGTTACTCACAGGAGGTATCCGTGGCAGGCACTATCGTTCTCCGAAAAAAAGGACCATCTTTCCTTGGGTTTAGGAGAACCGATCGCTCCTACGAACTGCGAGTCCAGGCCAAGGGGATCGAAGTTTCCCGGAAAGGAAAAGTTGTCTGGGGGTTGAAGGCTGACGACATCTTCTAGCAAGCCCCCCAACCACTTCATCCAGTTTTCCTCTTTCTGTCATCCTTAAGGGAACCGTGCGTCACCATGCGTTTTGTGTAAATATAAAGGCACTCAATTGCAGTTTGTGTGGACCATAGAAGTTGTTGGTGATTTCCTTGTGAGATGCTGTTTCGCGGCATTGTTTAGCAAGGCCCTCCATTCAGCACGGAGGTGATGGCGCTCGTGTGATGCCGGCCCTGTCTCGTTGCATCATGTTGTTTTCTTGGTTCATTGCGTGTTTGCAGCTTCATGATCACTTCTTGTCGCTAGCAGGCCAACAATTTTCCGAAATTTCCGCTCGAACGGTGGTAGTGTGGAGCCCACTTCATCGTCATGATGAAGCGGTTGCTCTTGCATGCAGGTGCAACATATACATGTGGGAATCGACGTTTGAACTCATGACTTGATCCAGATTGGACTCAGAGACACACGTTCTAACGTTCGATTGTTGCTGTGCGGAACAATGATTCTCGCCTACCGCACACAAGGACACAGATGTAGGGTCGGCTTCCCTGTTGTCTAGCGCAACATACGGCGGCATTGTCTACGGCAATGCTTTTTGTTTTCCAACGCATCGAAGTTTTATTTTGCTGCCACGAAACCGTTTGTCGTCTTTGCATCCGGTGATATGGCGAGATGGCTTGTTGCAGCATCCCACACCAGGAGATATGTGTCTGTGTCCGTTTCGGTTCCCTCGAGGCGCAAAGTCGCCGCCCTCAAGTTTTCCGTGTGAGCGTAGCAGCTTTTTTTGTTGATGTAATGCCCACCACTTAGCACGTGGGTCATGATACTTGTGTTCGTGTGATTCCGACCCCTTTTTTTCCTTTGTTTCCTCTGTTCGTGGCGTGGCTTCTTCGTAATCGTCTTCTTCGTCTCTAACGAACCGACATATCAATAAATAAATTTTCGATATTTTTCAACCGAGCGGTACTGCGCGAAAAAAAAATGCTGGAGACAAGCGCCAAGACCGCTCTCGCGCGCGGAAAGTAACCATACATTTTTGCCCAACACATCTTGTATTGTTGCAGGTGTCCTTCTGGCTAGTTTTCAGAACCAAGGTTCGTTAGAGAAAACTCTCCTCACTCGGTTACGTTCCCGAAAAAAATGCCCTACCCACCCCAATGGGAAATTTTCCGGGTACACCCTTAGAAATCAGACAAGATATAACGTCCTTCACCCCCATCTAGTACTGGCTTGGCTCCTCAGGCATTGCTGCATCATCCTGAGCGTCCTGCACCGCCCTGGTTTTCACGTTGAATGAAGCACAACAACTGGTTTCACGGCTCGCTTTTCCCCTGCCTCGCTACCATGCTGGTGGAGAGCTAGAGGGCGAGCTTCTCCGTAAGTTTTTTCCGCCTAATTTTCAGCAACAAAGCTGTTCGTGAGACCGAGAATGACAATTCTTGTCGCTGTACTCCTTTCAAGT